AACAGATAATATATTAGCTATGGCCAGGCCGACCAACAGTGGAATACAGAAATATAAAATAGTGGACCAATTTCTACAGTAAGTTACTAGAGTTTTATAACCTAGTCTCTACAGTGTACAGTGTGCAATGAGGGAAAGTCTACTAAAACACTGATCACCAGAGTTCGGCTTTTATTGCATATAGTATGATCTTAACCTTTATAATTGGGATGAATCAGTCCAGTACTTTACACTCTATTATAGTGTACAATGAGGGAAATTTTGTTGAAACTTGTTTGGTTTATGTATAGATTATAGACACAGCTTTATGGAACAACAATCACTGGTTCAAGTTTTATGCAATGTTTCGACGTGTTTTCCCCTGTCGTTCTCAAGCACATAAACGTTGCATAAAACCTGTAACCAGTGATTGTTATTCAATAAAGCTGTGTCTATATATTGCACTCAGAATTACTAAATGACACTTAAAACCTTTAAAAAAAGACACAGGTTAATGGACCAACAATCACTGTTTAAAGTTTTATGCAACTATCAATTTTCATCATTCTGTAGGGGGAAAAAACCTGTAACCAGTGATTGTTGTTCCATAAAACTGTGTCTATATATCATACTTACAATTACTATATGTCATTTAAAATCTTTGTGTGGTTTATGTTCAAGAGAGTATCATATTCACACTTTTAATAGGACTAAAGCTTTTACATTCATCTGCGCAATACAGGAAACACCTTCACCTTCAACTGTTTATAGTATATGATTTGAAGCAGAGAGCACATATATACCATTATATATTCCCTTGTGTAAGATTTTGATAAGAGCACTGGCCCAGGTATGTGGTTTTTATATGTTTACAATATTTCATGTTATATTATTATTTCAGAATGAATATTAAAACAATTATCAACCTACAGCAACCAGGAGAACATGCGTATTGTGGTGATGGAAACGATAAAACAGGCTTCTCCTATAATTCTCAATTATTTATGGAAAAAGAGAGTAAGTAGTTTGTATATACGTATACAAGAGATGACATCTTCCCCTCCCACCTCCAAAACTTCCCTATTTTCTCCCTCTCCCAACTTACTACCTGTTATCAACTATTCCTGTGTAAAATGATCACTTTTGGGTAAAAAGTTGTTTTGTTGCAGTGCGTTCTTTGAACGCACTGCTTTGTTTTGCAAATGACTATTTTTTTACCTTCGCTTGTTTTCTAAGAAGGCAACATGCCACAGACTGTCTGTTGTTGTTTTCTGGTCAAAAATTCTTTTTGCAATATGTTACAAATAGTCATACAAAAAACTTCAAATCAAAAAAATCCGACCCGGATGTAACGGAGTGGTCGCCATATTGATATGTCATACTTCTGTAAAATTCAAAATGGGGCCTCAGAGTATAGAGCGCTTTTCATAATTTTGGTATATCTGGATATCACAATCGATTGCGAAAAGAAATTTGGAAGCCGATTTTTAAATTTCGATTTTGCTTTTCTTTTATTTCCGGTTAAAATTTTTCGGTACTGTCCAAAATTTCAAAGGCTCCTATTTCGTGACCTTGACCTTTGGTTACCTTGTGGCCTGAACAAAATTTGTTGCTCTTGATGGTATCTATCCAGTGATATACTCTTTTGTGCTGTGCAATGTTTACTTCCGGTTTTATAGCGGATTGAAAATTACGATTTTTATCTTCAAAGAGCTCTGACACGTGACCTAATTTACATACACCATAAATTCTTATTGAATTTTACTAGTGTTCATCTGCCCTTTGTAATGATATATAACACTAGATATTTCAATCAAAATTGCGCTTTTTAATATTTGAAAATTTTGTACTTTCTTCTATAGTAACTGTGCGTAATTTTCAATAAATCGAAATGGGGCCTCAGGGTGTAATCCAATTTGTGTAAATTTGATATCTATGGTATCTACTATCGATTGCTAAATAATATTTGAGAACCGATTTTTGAATTATGATTTTGCTTTTTATTTATTTCCGGTTGAAAAATATGAATACTTTAAAGGGTCGTATATCGTGACCTTGACATTTGGTGATCATGTGACCAGAACAATTTTGATAGCTCTCGACGAGATCTTTCCAATGGTATATTAACGTTTATTGTACGGTGTTTACTTCCGATTTTATCGCCATTTGAAATTGATGAATTTTATCTTGAAAAAGTCGGTTTTCCTCTTGTAATTTTATTTGTGGTCTAAACGATAAAGGTAGTTTGCTCCCTTCAACTGTTCTTGAATACAATGTGAGTTGAGCGATCTGTCGAATATGCTTTGCGTTTGGGCGATCTATATCCAGTTAATTATAATAGGAAATTATGTTACTGTTACGATACTTTGCGGCACCGTTTTAAGCGTAAAATCAAAACTGTTACGCACTGCATCAGAACCTCGCGAAGCCTGTGGATCTAGTTTTTCCTTGATATTATTAATAAGATTATTTTATGTTTTTTTCAGTATTTTTCTACAATTTTGGCTGGTAAGTTATTTACTCATGTATAAAATCTTTTCAAAAAGATAGGACTGGGCCTTTTTTCAACACGCCTCAATTGTATGAGGTCATTTTGATTGGTCGAAATTCACCTCTGAAGCAATTTGAATAAGTGAACCATATAATTTTTATAACAATGGTATTGGTCATGCTATTTATACTGAATAGTTAAACTATGTTTACTGAAAAATGTGGCTTACACAATCAGAAGATTTGATTTTAAACAAGGCCCCTATTTGTGATTGGTTGTTGATTTGTATGTATCTGTTTCAGGGATGATTTTGGTGTAGGAACTGTAACTCTATTATTAGATATTGTTAAAGTTATGCAGTTTTCACTCTCATTAGGAAAGGTGGCCATCCATTGTCATGCTGGATTAGGTAAGAATTACGAAACTAAGAAATAAAGAAAGAAAGAACTATATTTAACAAGGATAACAACTTAAGTTCATGAGGAATCTTTCTATCAGCTGATCCTTGGCCGAACCTCTTGGCATTGATCTTTCCTGGATTATCTGTACCCATTTACAACTGGGTTGACTGGAATAATATTGCACAGTATTTCTGTTCTCAAGGGGCAATATTAGATTGATAATGACCCCCCACAATGACATAACAGTTGGAACACCGCCTTTGGTAATTCCAATGATTAAACATTGAACTATTTTCAGGGCGGACTGGGTTATTAATAGCTTGTTATTTAGTTTATAACAACAGACTTTCACCTACAAGTGCTGTACATTATGTTCGCTCTAAAAGGTGAGTTTTTTAATTCAAAATGACTGTTTTCTAGACGGCCAGTTATTTAGAATCTAACACTACCTGTCAGTCAAAATGTCTCGTGGGAAGGGAAATTACTCGATTTCGTGCAGTTCTATTTCACCTGAAGAATATTTGCATATATTCAAGATACAAATTAACCCCCAAAATTGTAAAAAAAAAATCCTGTTTCTGAGACTAAGGTATAGTTGGTCAAACAGATGATGAACCTGTGCCCTCTATGAATAACTTTTAAATTTAAAAATGATTAAAAAGTGGATAAGGTTCTAAGAACCACATTGAAACATGACAGAAATAAATCTATTTATAATAACTATTTATATTTTATGTATTTTTAATAAGAGCTCACTGACAGTTGAATTATTGTAACTGTAATTTAATGTATTTATTTTTTTAGACCTGGTGCAATACAGACAGTGAGTCAAGTTCACATGGTTTCTAAATTCAGAGATTTTATCCGTCCTTTTCAACTCATATTTGCAATAAGGTAAGTTAATATCTCTCTTTGTATATCTTTATAATCTATATACTATCTTCTATATTTGAAATATGTTTTAAATTTATGAGTATTTTGAAATTCTTAAAATTGCCAGAGTGAGTGGAAAAACAGGACAGATTTCTGTAGGGATAAATCTACTAAGGTTCTTCAGAATATTGTTTGTCCAGATAATAAACGTTATCAACATTTATCCACGGAGTAGACAGTGACGGAGCCAGGTTTACATCCAAGGAGGGGGGGGGGCGAGATATCTAAAATTGCCCGAGGGCTGCGAGTGGGGTGGCTGGGAATAGATCTCATTTCTTCTGCCACGTGAAATTGATAATTATATTAATGTAATGTTGAAGAAACGTTCATATTGAAATATATATGTATAATGATTCTTGATTTAACTTGAGGTTTATTTCCTGTAGAATCATTAGAAATTCCTGTTCAAGAGGAATTGTAAAAGTTCTTCCAATCTTTGAATCTTTGACACTATGGTGCATACTATAATAACATCATGATTACTGTATCACTGTTTTATATTAACAGAGGTGAAAATGATTATGAATTCAATCTACAGCAACACCTCAACCGACAGAGACACCTACTTCACGGCTACGAGGGACGCAAACTCAAATATCTACCTAAAGTAAGTCGTTGTCTCCATATTCAAATGGAGAGAATATCAAAATACTGCATTTTATTTTTTATAACAGTGTGGTTTCAAATATTTACTAAAACATTAGACTAACAGGCAATTTGATTGAATTTATCTACCATCTATATCTTGAAAGATGATATTCGGAATAGATGGACTAATATATATAAAAAAAAGTTCAATTCGAGGCCCAGTGAACTGCAGATTTTATGTGTTAAAGATTCCTTGACAGTTGAAATTGCAGGAGTAAGAAGCATGGAAAAAGCATCCAGTCATTTGGAAGGGAAAAAAAACTAAGGCCCTGTGTATTATGGGTTGAGCATGTTTCAACAGTTGAAAATCAAAATAACTTGGCTAATTAGTGCCACTGCAAAATTCCCTTCATCGAACAAAATTTTTTTTTTGTCTATTTCAGATAATCTACATCTGTTGTGAGAGATTATTAGAACTGGGGAATTGTGGGAACTCTTTAAGCCGAAGTATAAGCTATAGTTCGTTAACATCCCATAATTCATTGCTCCCTCCCATCAATACGACGGAAACGTTAAAAAAATCACTCTCCTATCTTTCTGTCCGGTCGGAGAATCCTTTCGATGATTCAGATGGCAATATGGAAACTCCACGAAGTCGAAGTTTTGAAACTTTAAACAACACTCGAATGAAAGACGTATTAAAACATTCCGATTCCAGGCGTCATGGCAGCACAGGATCGTATGAATACCTGGACAAACCTGAAGGAAGAGCAACGCTGTCGTTAAAAACCAGTGATCGTGGATCTTCTGATAATTTGTCCGAGAAAGATTCAGACGGTCGAAGTTCAGATTCACCGGGCGATAGTCCTGATCTGTCTCTAGTCTCGTCCAATGTTTTAGATGATCCATCCCAGTGTCCTGAAGCTAGTCGTAGAGTCGTGGAAGCTCTTCTGATATCAGAGTACTCTGAAAATGTCCTGACTCGCTGTGAGGAATATCAGGTAGAGTTACCTCCCTTTTTAGCCATTTCTAGTAGCTAGTTGACTCGGTGTGAAGTTTGCAAATCTGTCCTTTCTTACCAGTTGATAGACCTCAAAGTCTGCATCCCATTTCTAGTAGTCCATTATGTCAGGAAAATCAGGTAGAGTTACTCCCCTTTGTTTAATCTGAAGTCCGTCCACCTTCTTTGTTACCACTTAATAGATCTTAGTATCCCTTTGTAGTCAGTTGCTCCCTTTTTCAGTTATTCCCATTTTCAGCTTTCTTTTCATTTTTCCATAATGACTTGAGTAATTACTTTAATTAGTTATATGAAATTATCATATGGATGATGTTGTATATTTATAACACCAGGTAAGTCCACTGAAGAATATATTACCTCCCTTGTATTTGTAGTTAAAACTGAACCAAACAGATGAAGCATGGAAAATGATAGGTGTTGAAACTGACCCGGAATTGATCTCAGCGTTGCTATGGGAATGGTTAGACCATCTACGAGAACCTGTGTTACGCAAACAAGATCTGGCCCACGTCAAACACGACGCTAACGACCCCATGTTGGTTTTACAGAAAATAGACAGGGTAGGTCAGCATATAGTTTGTTTTTCTTTTTAACAAGCTAGAAATGAAATGAATGGAGTTTGACGTCCTACTTTTCTGCACCATGTGGGCTAATGAAGACAGGGTGCAATGAGGGAAATTTTGCCAGGACAGCGGCATTAGCCTGTAGCACAAAGGGCCTCGTTTTTTTAACTCACATGCACATCTAAAATCTAATGCAAATTCTTTTTTCTGATATTTTTGGGTTTTTATTGTAATCTAACAAGTCTTCTACCACAATCTTGTTCTTATGGCATTATTTAACCAATCAAAGTATATCATTTTAAACCTGTTAAAACGGTGTAGAGAAATATCAGTTGGATTGGCAAATTCAGAGCTCTATCTCTAATAAAAACAAATACTGGGTACAATCTTTATTTATGTGGAATGATAATCTTTACAATATATAGTGGACTACTCCTGTTTATTTTTTGAATTATTCATTGTCCATCCAGAGATTATTTTCAGAATAATTTGGGTGGATTATTTGTAAATAAGACCATAACAATTATTTTGAAGCTGATTAAGCTCTAAATAGTTTTTATATTTTTGTGATATATTTATTTAGCAGAGTATTTATGAGAAAGGAAACCAATGATGCTAGAATTTATTCTATCTTATTTCAATTAGGTATAGAACAGTGGCATGTAACTTAAACTTTTTGAGAAAGAAACCAAGAAAAGTACGGTGTAAAATTCTATCTTATTCTATTTATAATTTCAGGGAGCTAAAGGAGTGATAGAATATTTTGCCAAAGTTCTGGTCAAGTTAGGGCCGTTACCAAAAAGCCTGAAATATCCTCTAATTGAGAAGATACTCTCGCATGTTACACATCACGTTGTTCATGTTAAATCTACCAATTCCGTCGCTATGCAAGAAACTCTGGAGAAGAAAGAACATTGGAGTGCCATGAAATCCAAATCTGCAATGAGACTATTTTATTTCTTTCAGAAATTATCAGATATAATGTTTGAATCTGGTGCTATCACTAGTAGATGATGGATTTTAATATGTTTGGGTATAGTTGTCTAGATATTTGTTTTATCAGCTGATTAAAGGGATTGTAAAGAGGTTTTCTAATTTTTTATGTGTATCAGGGACACTGATAGCATCAATTTGCACCATTCTAATTTCAATCAGACGTC